AAGACCTCGAACAAGCCTTGGATAAGAGATCCGTGTGCCAGTGTAAGATCTTTAGGTGAGAATTGATCTGGTCCAAGTAATGTAGTCTATTGCCATGATAGTTTAAATATCAACAAGTTTAAACTAAAACTGAGGAATAAAATGAATATTTACTGAATGGTCATTCTGTACCTTTTTAACAGTATTTCTGTGATTTATAATTATACATTTTTTCATGAGCTTGCATTTATTCACAGCCCAGCTCAAAGATCACTTGTCTAGATGTGGAATCTGTAACCATTCTTAGCCCGAACAATGCAAAGAGCCTTTAAAGCCTCATGGTGTGCCTAATTGCCATGGGAGAAAGTTGGTGTTGATCTATTAGTGCTGGATGAGCAATCATTTTTGATAGCCGTTGATTACTCCTCTGGTTATTTTGAAGTGCAAGATATGAGTAGCACCACCAGCACCTGAGTTATCACTGGCTTGGTTTTCCAGGCATGGTGTTCCTGTGATCGTCATCAGTGACAAACAGTGAAGATTTCAAGGCCTTGAATAAGGAATGGGATTTTCACCACGTCACATCAAGCCCTCGATAAGCACCCATCTCCCAGTAGCCAAGCATTTGTTAACTTCAAAGGTGATAACTGACGTCCCTGAAAAGATCAAAATTAGGAAGGAAAAGCAGAAACACTACTATGATCGTCACTCACATGAACTGCCAAAATTGCGTGAAGGTGATACGATTAGAATGCGTTTGCCAAACAAGCAGTGGTCATTGGGGCGCGTCAGTGGAGAGGAAGAGACCTGTTCCTACTTGGTTGAGGTAAACGGAAAACATTATTGTCGGAACCGTAAATGGCTGAGGGCAACATCCGAGGAGTTACCGGAGTCAGTTGAAACAAACCTCAACATGACCCATCCTATTGAACTGGTTGAGTCCAGCCCAGCTGAGCTGCCACCACCAATGATACCATCATCATCACAGTGGTTTCTGGACCATGCAATGAAGGTCGTGCAGTGCACGACTGCCATCACCCAGTGTGGCTAAAAGATTACGAGTGCTGAATTAAGACACTGACTCTGCCTTGTGCCTCTTTTTTTTGTTTTTAATTTTTTTTTTTTATGAATAGTTATGCAGGGGCACTTAATGCACTAGACTTTCTCAAGGCAGATTTGAACATTGTGTTATTTCTTTCTTTCTTTTATTATCATCAACGTTGTCTACATTTATAGTTGCTCGACTATTAGAAGGGAGATGTAACGAGTATGCTTACGTGAAGTAGTCTAGTTTCCCGCCTTGCGGGTCATGTGATGGAGTTTTGGGTGGCCAGCCATCTTCTAGAGTTGTTGTTCACCAGTGTACTAAATAATTGCAGTTTTGCAGACACTGTTTGTCTATCGCGG